GTTTTCCCCCCCCCCCCCCCCCTCACACCTTCACTCACCACCATGACTGGCTCATAATTTTGAATCCTTAGCATTTTGACTAAACTTTGATTAAATTGTCCTTAGTGGTGACGAATGACACTCCACTATCCATGAAAAGCAACCTGGAATTTCGTTGCTGCAAATTGACGTTAGCGTCCAGTAATTACCCCACACATAAGCACGACAAATTTCGTCTTCTAAAGTTCCACCATAGGCTGCACTCTATTTAGCAGCCTTTTATCATGCCAATTAATTTGGCTACATTATTTACCCAAAATAATTCATTTAAACGCCTGGTAATGCAACGATTCCCTCAAGCATGTCTTTAGCTCTTGATGATGCTCACGATTAGGCAGTCTGTATTATTTGTTTTGCATTCTTTTCTCGTAATCCATCTACTTCCACAACTTTTTATTAATCATGTCTGCGTTAATTAATTTTTCATAAGATTTTTATCCTTTAATGCATTTAAAGGGACCATTTAGATAAATTCTACACTTGTTTACATGCATAAACCAAGCTGAAATAGAAGCGGTGAATTTTAGCTTTGTATGTGCACTGGTGTCCACGAAAGGATTTTCGCTCTTCTGGCACCTTTGTGTCCTTACCGTGGTAGTTTGTGCTCGTTTGTTTGCCTTGAGTACCTTTGAACTCACACACAAGCCACACACACCTAAAAATTAAAAGGTATTAAGCCATCAAGTATCGAAAGTCATCACTCTTAATCAAGCAATCATCACAAAAAAAAGTTCGCTGAAACTAGCCCAGAAGTTATAAATGCGTTTCCGATTAAGGTTTGTGGTTTGATGATGCAATTAAGTTGTCGATTCACATCGATTTCTGTCAAATTTAATTCATCATGTCCAGGGTTTTCAGTCCGGTGTCGTGTAGGTAAGATTAACACGTCTATTGCATGTTTTCCGTGAACAGGAGCAAAAGGGGAATCGGTACACGCCTCCCCCAGCTACCAGTCTAGGTGAAAACATCATGTTTCAGAATCGTTTCCATGCTGAAGTAGTGTAAAACCGATGTGCTTCCATCTTAATTTGCAGCTCCACATCGCAGCAGCATGTGGTTATCTCGACGTCGCCGGCTTCCTCCTCCAGCACGGCGCGAATGTGGACTTACCCGACCGGGACGGTTGGATGGCCATCCACGTGGCGACTTGTTGGGGACAGGCATGTTTCTTTGGTTTTGTTCTACTTTGCACAGGAATCCTGCCTTTTTAAAGATATTGGTCACATTAGAGTACTGCTGTTGTTCCCCTCGGCATTCCTTATTTTTATTCTTGACAGTATTCTCTCGTTTAATGCCCTAGATTATGTCAGTAATACCTGGCATCAATAAACACTTGGACTTTTATAAGTGTAATCACTGTACTCAACTAGTTTCTTAAGGCATTTCAAAAAGGAGCTCGATTTGAATCTTTAAGCTGCTCTTACTCTCCAGAACTTTGAGCCTAATTAGTATCGAGGACTTAGTATGGTGGATCCACAGTGCATTCATTGGGTTATATTTTAAATGAAAATGCGAATTTCCCGGCGCAGTCAAAACGCCTTTCCCATAGTTTGACCAACTCAGAACACATTAGTAAAATCGATAATTCGTGCGCCAGAACACGAATCCATAATAAAATGAATATAACTGCAACTGGGTCCAAAATTCACCAATCAACTGAAAATTCTGAATGCTCTGCAAACTAAGCTGCTCAACATCAAAAATCATGCTCCCAAACTTTAAAAGGAAAACTCGCAAATCCGTAGAAGTGAACGTTTTACGTCGGCAAAAAAGTATGCAGCAGAAGGAAATTTTTCGTTTACTATATAAATGCAGCCATGATCTTAGTTTTCTTTCATTTTTGGTGGGTTTATTCTTAAGAAAAGTAACTACGTTTAAGGACGTGCGAACCATTTATGATCAGACGTGTCTTAACTCCTGCCTGCATCCTACTCCAGTTAGTGGGAGTGAACAAAATTCATTTTCAATTACTTAAGGAGCTATGAATTTTCGGGGAAAATGATCTAATTTTTTTTATTTAAAAAGGTATTGACAGTGTGGTGTTATGCCTTTAGATGACCGTAAATAGTTTGAATATAGGCAATAATTTCTTAAAACTGCAAAAATTTTAGTTTAATTGAGGAAATCATCATTTAAAGGAATTTCCATGGACTTACCTCTAGATACACGCAGATTAACAATGTCATGAATGCAGGGAGGGGTCATTTACCAATTATGTGTTTTACTTTGTAAACAGGCGAGTTATCTTGACGTAACAATGCACACGGATGGCAAGTTAAGTCAATCCCAGATTAAAACTGGCTTTTAATTGCGTCAAGGTTGATGGTGAATTCAAGCGTAAACAAATTACTCTTTGCTTCTACATAGACTGTAATGATTTTACACGAGTGTAAATAAATATTAATAGTTTGCAATATTCTCGTATTAAATGCCATTTAAACCAGACTCGCAAATAACTATCAACCTACTTTCGTGACTTCAGCTATAAGCTCGGTTACTCTTTTTCAACAAGATTTTTCGCTTATTCTTAGGAACGGCAAAAGTATTTAATAGACAAGTCTCTAAAGCAACTATACACAGATAATTTCAGAGGATTTTTAGATATTTTAAAGTAGGTCACAAAATTGCAGGTGTGTGGAGAAGCAGTCCTAACTGTTTCTGCTGGAAATGAAATCTTACAAGAAAATCTGGGTAGTCTAAAACCAAAGATAAGATGCTGACCCATAAAAATCACAAAGCATTTGTTAAGAATTGTTTTGCTTATTTCAGACCTGGCACCGGTAACTTGAATTTATCTATGTATATGGGATCTGAAAAGTCTTACATCGCATACATTAGAAGGGACATATGGTAAAAAAGCTAGCAGCATTCTCATGTGTTGTGTTTAACACTGCGTGATTGTGGTTGAAATTAACAGCATGCTTCCTTACTTACGGGGTTCTTTTCGTGAATTTTACTTCTTAGTTTGAAGTGATTGAGATGCTGACCAACTTTGGTGCCAACCTTGAAGCACCGACGGTCACTACTGGAGAGACGGTTTTCGACATCTGTGAAGACGAGAAATTGCATGAACGTCTAGTCCTTCTTAGGGAAGAGCTGAAACGCCGACAAACTCTCCACAAGGCTCAAAATCATGCAAATCAGTTCGCCAGCAACGGGGATAACAGCAATAGGAGTCGCAGTGGACTCAGCCGACGGAGGAGCAGCAATCCACGAAGGTATGTTTTTGCAAACTTTTTTTACAAGACACATTGCACAAAGCCATTAATCGAAACTCATTTAATTAGTTTGAACCTCTGATTTTTACAGTAAGCAATTTGTTTCTTGATTAGTGATCCGAATAAAAAGTTGTTCCGAAGGATGTCAGTATTTGGTCAAAACCGGTATAACTTACCTTTGACTTAACTGCAAATCTTGTGCGGCAATTGCGCCAATGGCAACCTTTGCCAAACTCTAATGTATCCAAGCTTTGCATAGGTACCTTGACTAAACCTTTCTGAATTTCAAATTTTTCTTTTGTTTTGTTTAGATAAAGTTACGTCAGCCCAAACTCCTTTGTTTGCCTCTAACCCACGACTTTTAGCAGACACTTCCAGTCTTCTGGACGAAATATGAATTGTGCAATTTTCCATCCGAATTCCTTCTGCTAGTCAAAGTTGTAATTTAACCCTTGTGGTATGATTGATAAGAGATTTAAAGAACATTCAGACTCAAAGAAAATTCAGATTAGTTCCGTGTAAAATTAGTAGAGCAATGTTTAGCATCGTTCCCTTGGAAAATCCTAATCCCTTTCAAGTGAGCCTGCGTCTCATTCCACACGCAATTTAGGCAAAGTTATTTCCACTTCAGAAGTTTGTTCTCACGCAAAATAGGATGGGTATAAGAGAACGATAATTATCTAGTAATTATTTAAATGCAAATATATCAACATACATAGTAATAATAAACAAATTCATTAATATTCCTTTGTTGAAAAAAATTCATGTCTGTAGATCCGCCTATAAACTCGATAACAGTAAATTACTATACCATGTGGTGTTGCAGGCACACAATTTTTATCCACTCCTGTGCTTCAGCCTTTTTCAAAATGTTTTCTTTCTGAACTTGTCTGAGCCCTTTGGGCCATTTTCGTCCGCAGTTTCGAACATTGAGTAAATGTGTAAATGTTAAGCCATTTTGCAATGTACGATCGTCCCTTTTACCTAACTTATTGTTATTTGTTTTACTTAACATGACTTTCATTTTTCCTTTCGTAATTTGTTATTTTGACTTATTGTTGTATTAATTTCTAGCATTAACGGTTATGAATATTGCTTACTGTAAAATTCAGGCATCGCTAATGGGTTTTTATAATAAGCAAGACCACGTTTTGACTAAGAAAACTGGAAATCGATACTAATCGTTGCCTTAGTTTTCCTGTATTATCATCTCACCTTCATTTTGTTGATTCTCATCGGTGCGCAGAGTTCTTCATTGGACGTCACAGACACAAGCAGTGCTTGAATCCATCGGCCTCATTCATTTTTTTCGGAAGTGATCTCCAAGCTTTAAATATCACAAGTTATGACTTTTAGATAAGATATCTTAAGGCCATTGCCACTATATCAACACCAGATTGTAATCGTAAATTTTAAACGTGACAAGGTTAACTTCAAAAACTTCAGCCTATATCCAGCAATTTTTCCTTGCTATTTCGATCATGAAATGATGCTTTAAAATGCAATCCCTTTCGTGCTTTCTGTGTGTGTTTTCTAGATTCCGGAAAAATACTTTTTTCTCTCCAGTAGTAAGCTACCAAAGCGCCGAATATTAAAAATTGTGGTATTTGTCTTATCTGGTTTTTAATTATGACTGATTCTTCTCCTCACAAAATGACGAAGTTCTAGTTTCTTTGAAATTACCATTACAATTCTTTCGAAATAAGTAGGTAGCATTAACTGACACTCTGAATGAGATCTTGTTTTGTATTAATCAGGTAAGACCCAATAACACTCCAATGATTTTTTTAGCTCAGGCGCATAAAATGGCGGAACTTAAAAATGCACACATCCTAAAATCAGCAGGTACTGGTAATTTGCTGTGCCAACAAAGTAGCGCAACATCCCTAAATAATTCCCCACCGCTTACAGCACTTAAGGCCAGAAGACAGAAGTTATTATAATTGAATATTGAGCTGACAGTGGCTGTGACTTTTCAAGAATGGAAATGGATAAAATATTCTAGGCGAAACAGAAGCCAGTAACGGGTTAATCACTACTTACGATGTTTAAGCAGTGTTGTCAAGGCAAAATTCTAAAACTACCACAGTTCATTTGTGACCACTTAAATAATTTTTAGCGTCTGAGCTTTTTTGCTGTGATCTGTACCTCTTGCTTCCCAAAAGCCAATTTTTGAGCTACTTTATAGTTTTTACAACCTGAGTTCAAGAGTCCTGCAGGAATTGCATTTGTTTTTTTTCTAATTCCTGTGAACAAGGGTTTTTTGCTGCTTCTCGTCAATAAGGTCAGACGTGACAAGCTTTCAGTAGGCAAACTATTCAATCCCAAATACATTGTTCTTTTGCATACTTAAATTCTGTCATCCTCCCTTTTCATATGGCATTGGACAGTTGCAACTTCATTTAAAGCCAGATCTTTTTGAGAAAACCGTAAATAGGCACCCACTCTCAGTAAAATTAGAGATTTTCTGTTCGCGCAAATATCAATTGTGGCAAGCCACGTACACAGATCCAATCCATTTTCTTTTATTCGTTGTATTATTATTTCAAAGCTTACGTTTGACGTATATTTACCTTTTGTAGGCTTTAGACAAGTTTAAGCATTTTAAGCCTAATTTAGAGTGCGCCAATCGGATCACTAACAATGTGGACACCTAAACGAGTCTTCTCAACCATTCCTGCAGAGAGATCATAATACCTAAATACGATAATTGTAGTTTTTTTCTAACACACTTTCTGTGTGTCTTTATTTAAAAAAAAACTAGTGCCTCGATTCGGAGAACGAGCATGAGAGACAAGGCGAAGTTGTCATGGAAGGAGGCCCGCCAAGAGGCTGAGACGTGTTCCCTGGTTGTGCCAACAGCAGACGGGGATTCCATGGTAGAGGAGGTCGTGAAGACACCTGTTTGGATGACTTCTGTCGAAGATCCCAACGGAGGCAAAAACGTTCGAACACCTGATTCTCCCGAAACGATCCAGCCTCTTCCCGACCTCTACAGACACCCCTCTGCAACGCTTAACACACCTCTTCCACCCACTGCGCGAATAAGGCCTACCAGCACCCCGACCAAAGGTGTAAGTCAACACTGAAGTTATATCACTTGATTTGATCCTTCTTTTATTTACTTTGCATGCTCTAAATTAATTATGGACTCCTCTTAATTGCTACCGGTGGAATAGATAATGCACCGTGGACCAACCGGGATGGGGAGACACATTTGGTGACAGATCACAAGAGATTTTGAACAAATCAAATAATGTAAAAGTTAATTCGGGTAAAAAAGAGGGACCCATGTCAACACAATGTAGTCGGTCCCGGCAACCAAAGCCCCTGGGCTATCTGTACAGAACCAGTCCTTGTGCAAATCCTGAGTCGGCGAGAGGCAACTGCACGTTTGTGACAATGCAATGTGGTGACCTGGCAAGTGGGAGAATGCAAGTACATAGTTTTTTTCGCGTTGAGTGTAAGAAAGGTCACGTGAAATCATTCGCATGTGGTATTCTTGTTGACTTACCACCGGATGATTTAGGTCACCACACCCAACCCAAAACAAGGGACAAGTCCTCTTGACAAATCACTGGAGCCGTTAACTCAAGGGAACAAATGGCCTTCTCTGTTCTACTTACCAGGATCCATTGTATAGCGAGAGTTAAATCAACGAATGTGTCATGTCCTTGAATAGGATTCAAAATTTTGCACTTAAACAGGGTTAACCGGATTATCCCTGCTATAGTGTCCACGATGAACGATGACCAAGGTATCATTGAAGCACTTGGATCGACGTTCTTGTCTGTGACATCTATGCAAAAAGCGATTGTTTTAAAAGGCAGCCATCAAACAAAAATGGAAATGAGCCCCACGAGTTCAGTTTGCTGCATGAAATTCTTAACAGGCGCGAAGGCTGCCTGCAATCACACTTGCCAGAGGTTTTACAGTAAATTTAATGTAATAGAATCGTGACTGCAATTTAGTCGGGGCCACTCGGGCTTCGGAAGTGACCTTTTAAAAATGTGACATTTCACTTCTAATTGTGAAACTTGTCGGTGTGGAAAGCAGGAAAATTTCACGGACTCGATGCTGGTCCCCATGAAAATGTTATGTTGCATGTATGCTAAGGCGTTACGTTAATCTATTTAAAGCCGTTGCAAGACGCGTTATTACTAGTGGTTTGTATTAGTTAACACACCATAGGTAATTTTCACTCGATGGTGCTACTTTGAGTTCCTGTCCATCGTGATGAGCCGTTTCTAATCATAAAACAACAGATCCGAGAAATTATGCGTTTTGCATTGTACACTTTATTTGACTGCCGCCTAGTCGGGTACTTTATAAGACTGTTTTTGGTCCACAATTTACATTTTCACTCATCTTAGTTTTTTTAATCAATGAGCTCCTTGACGTTGGTTGCCAGGAGAATAATTTTGAGGGTAATCTGCGGTATCATTTGTGACAGGACGGTTGCTGTAGGTAGCCTAGACAATAGTCCCTCATAATTGAATTAGGTACAAAGCCCCACAAGTAAAAGTGGTTGAATTTCTCACACCGACGTTAGGCTTGGAGCAAAAGGGACCACTCCAAGACGAATCTTAAGTGACCTAATTGAAAAAAAGGTAGTGCACCTAGTTCTATTAAATATTAATTCAGATGGGACTCTGGAAGCACGTATGTGTGTGCAGCAGCTGAATCACGGGTTCGAGATGTGCATTGTTCGTTTTAGGACAATGACTTCAAGATTCCTTTGCAGTCGTCAAGCGCTCATCACAGATAAAAGTTATGGAATCTGGCTGGTACCTTCAGCTCCGCTCATCCTTAAGTTTAGATTCATTCCACTCCTGAAAATATTGGAGTTATTAGAACACCCAAGGGGAAGAAATTAGTCTAAACAAAATCTGAAGTCGGGGTGATATCTGGCTTCAGTTTCATGGAAATTGGTTAAGGGTTCGTTCCTTATATAAAAAAATGGAGAAATTACTTTCAAGAAGACAAACAGTAGGCTATCGATTGAGGCTCAACTTTTCCGTTTATTTGCAGTCTAAATATAAATGTCACTGGACGACCATACATTTAGTGAACTATTAAAGGCAACAGAACACCTAAACTAAAATTCTCTGAGAAGTCAGAATACCTTTTGTTTCAACATGTCTGTTTGGCAGGACCGAACTTGATAAAAGTAAGATTCCCGACTCCGACCAGCCACCTCGTCATAATGCTTGACTCCTGGATGTGGTTATTTAGTGTGGCGGGTGGGAAAATAATTCTTCGAAATGCTCGACTGTATTATCCAAGTCTTGTTGGCGTTAGAAGGAAAAACCGTCGCGATCGCTGTTGGTAATTTAAGTGAAAGTTGAATATTGGGGGTGAGATGGTATCGCACATTTGCAACTTTAACAGTTTCGAATTTTTGTTGTAAATCTTGGATTAAACGAGGTTCCGATTAATTTGTTTAGTAAAAAAATACTTTAAGAAACTGCTCCAGTTGAACAAGAATATATATTTCGGTTAAGAGTGAGTAAAACGCCACGCATCGTTTATTTAAAACTACTATGTAAAATCATTTGCTACGTACCAATATGTTTAACAGGAGACATACTTAAGAAATCATGGGAAGACGTCAATAGTGCGAAATCATTCCACATTGGTTTTGATAAATTTGTGATAATTTTGGCGTCGAGCAGAGCGATTTTGACATGGGGCTGACAGGTTTGGTTGAATTAGCCCATCCAGTCGCTCCTTTTACCTTCCATCTTTTTACTACTACATTGCTGTGTGCCTGTAACCGCAATGAAGACAGCTTATCCCGTCCTCACGAACTATGTCACATATTTTAGCGGGTTATAGTACGATATTGATACATTATTGAACGCTTTACTTAATCCAAATCTACTGAACTATTAGTCGTTTTTTATGCTTTACAAGGACACCCTGGTAGATGGATCCAGGTTACAATCCCAAAAAATTGAATCCCTTCCTCGAAAGAGAGGCGGTGAATCTCCCCCGCTTCGTCCCAGACTCACATCGAGGTTGAGTGACTTGCATCCTCCAGGTCGTCCCGCCAACGGAGCCCAACCGGCTCACTTCATTTCCACCAACGGCATTGGCCAACCAAATCTCAATCTGCACAATGCCTACTACTCAGTTCCAAACCAACCGGTAACAAAGTGGACACAACCACGCGGAACACCCCAGGTTCTCCTATCTACTGGTGCGAAACCCATGGGAGGGGTCTCCCCAGGGGTTATTGCGTCTCCCCTACAGCCCGGTGCCAGTGTTACTCGGCCACCATTGAAACGGGACCTCATAATCAGTGATGCTAGAAGAATGGACCAGGGTAATGTCGGCATCAGTGGGAAGTGCTGTGCGATAATGTAGGAAATCGTGGTGGTGTTGAAGCAGTCATCTGCACACATTCTGTGATTATATTCCTCCCTCTTTCATTTTATTACTTTTCCCAAATGGCCCCGCTTAATCTTCCCTCAGTCAGCCGTGCATAGTAGAAAACACTGTGCGACACGCTAAGATCTGTACAAATCTTCTCAATGTATTTAATAGTAATATGCATACACAATAAAATTATTTTGCCAAAACTCTGGAACTTACTCTCAAAGGCGAATTAATGGAATTTTGTACAATCAGTCGATATTGACCGAGGCATCGGTGAGATAACATCCATTACGGTCATCAGGCCATTTTAATATTAAATATTTCCTAAATCACATGACCTATTAAAGTAGGTACCTCTGATTGGTGATCATGATTAAGAAAGGTTTTCCAACAAGTACCCACGTAAGCGTCTGCGGGTTTGCTTATTTTAAGGGAAACAGAGTTGCTGCAAAGTGTACTGCGCTCAGGCTGTTGTCAGCGCCTAGGTGATGTGCTATTTTATGAGATTGCAGCACCAGCTGATGCCCTAGCTATTTTCACATGATGTACTCATCTACTTTAAGTGACCAAATTCTCCTGCCAATGATTCGTTTGATAACTTACGCGGTTACAGTACTCCATAGTCTCAAGTCAATGGTAAAAAGTGACAAATTAAATACCCACATTTATGAGTCTGGTGCTGAACTGAAGGTTTATCTCGATATTGTTATGCATACAAGTACCTGCATGTGCAATGTCAGACTAGGAGGGTAAAAAGACGTAATTTTAGCATCTGTGGAACATTATGAAACGTCAGTTATGTACAAATCGTAAATAAGCATTTTACAGCGGTCGACATGCTTGCCATTCGCTAAATTTAGACTTGGCAGCGTTGAGCATTGATTCCAAATGCGCGGTGACACGACATCGATAAGCACCATTCGGATTGTTTGCGACTCCTCCTCTAATGCCAGCGTTTGAGAGCGTAGACTCCACCGATCCCACGAAAGGAGTCAACTTTGTTGTCTCAAAGCGTCCCAAACTCTCATGTATTCGTACTACTTTTTCGGCTAGCGCGACACTCGTAACGGGAAAACATGACCAAAAGTGACGCAGTAATTCTCCTGCAGCTGAATAGAGAATACTCAGTTCTTTTGATTGTTCCGAGGAAAGTAAAAGAAGAACGGAAGATGGTGCTCCACTTTTCTCACCAGTCGCCGATTTTCCCCCTGCCATAAGACAACCGCCGGCAGAGACATCCGCTATGGCCTTGTGAACACCATTGTTATTAAAAAGTAAACGACCACCACGATTAGGCATCGAAAGCGAAGCACGGCAAGCTGCCAGAGCCTGACGAGCCTGACTTTGTGTTAAGGGTGACGCTGTTGATTGGGTCAACATGGTGGGACCTTCAAGGTAGTCCTTAGTACTGGTGAGTTCTAAGTCTGCTCTGGGACCTGGCGCCTCTTCGCATAGTTCGGATTGGTAAAGCCGTCGTTTAAGGCTACCAGATAACACAAGATCTTTGTAACTGGAATCTGCCGTAGTAGTGGTAGAAGGTGTAGCTCCAGAGAATCTCGCAAGGGATCGCATTATCATGATTGAATGCTTGTTGAAACGACGAAGCAAGATTTGATTTGTGGAAGCTTTTTGCTTCGAATTAATTGTTGAATCAGTTGGAGGAGGCTGGAGTTCAACACCGTAGCCTTGCCCAACCGAATGGTCCTCAAGTTCCCCAAGGTCTAGATGGGCAGATGAGCGCAATTTTCGGGATCTTATCAACTCTTGTCGCAGAATTCGGTCATCCAGGCTGTCGCATTCACTGAACACATCGTCCTTATTAATAATTGCTCGGTCACTAAACAGACAAAAAGAATAAATACCAAAACCAGGAATACGCACAATATAGAAAGGTCTCTCATGTTGAAAGTACTTGCTAACCTAGATAATGATAAAGAACAACTCAAGGAATCATAAACGGTTGGAATAAGCACTAACAGCGAACAAGCTTTCCACTCATCAAAGATCTCGGTCTGAGTGCGACGCAGTCTGAATGCCCAGCAGTGAGAAAGCACCTACTATCACGTCAATTTCACCACTCAAGTTATTGATTTAAATGAGACGCGCACTTTTAGAGAGATTAATATCAGTAAATGTTCAAACGTCAATAAGACTAAACACGCACCGGTGATAGTAGTGCGACTGAAAAAACTTGATCCAAAAGTCGGCCTCAGAAAGCTTATCAGGAACTAATTCCCTATGACGTTGACGAACCGCAGGGTAGGCGCGGAATATTGCGTCAATCGTCTCCTGGGTTAGGTTATATTTGATGCTGTTTGTCCCATCCATTTCAGGTTTAATGTCACTCAGAAGACAACTGGGTACTCCGGAAATTTGAGCACGATCCTGCATCAACTTTGTGGACATGGCTGGTGATCGCGACACCGACGCCGTATGATTAGTTCCTTCTTTGGAACCAGGCGAAGTAGTACTTGCCGCACCTACCATTCGAGGCTGCGAAAATTCTGGACGTGCCCAAAATTCCTCCGAACTTAAAATGCCAGTAACAACTAGTTCTTTGTATAGTGCTAATAGATGAGGATTTGATTCCAAAAGGCGATATTTTTCGTTCAACTCAGAATGCGCCTACGTGAAGAACAGAAGAGCAGTACGACGATTAGTTTCTGGCGACAAAAGGCACACATAAAAATGCATGAATTAAGTGGCAAATGTTGGGTTCAACCTTTTAGAAGAGAAGAGCATATAAATACGACGTCTGAACGAAGAGCTTTTCTTCTCTTGCCGAGTTCAGGAGCATTTTGTAAACATAAAATGCTAGAAAATTAACATATGCAATACGTTACTTTGCCCAAATGGCACCACGGCCTTAGTGAAATATGGGGCCTCATGATTCCACAAAATTAATGCAAGAGTGTTGCTAATGTTCAAGATTACAAAAATAGCTATGGTTACAGGATAAACTATATAGAACTTTTGCTTTCGCACAGATTTCCTGACATGTATAAAGATGTTAATTAAATACCTTGTCCTTGAACTTCGGCAGCATAAGCTGCAGCATCTCTTTCACCTTATTCCGCATTTCCAATTGCTTTTCGCGACCAGCTGTGTCAGCAAAATGGAAAGTAAATGACTCTCCATTGTGCATCAATAGCTGAAGTTGGACCTTATCCTTATTATCCAAGCTCACGCGTTGAAGGCGAATGTCCTCAAAAGCTGCACTTATTCGAAATGAATCAGACGTTTGATTGCGCCAGGCCACTCGGCCTGAATTGACATACAAAGTGCCATCGACTTTTTTGTGACGTACATGCTTCACCATCAACAAAACATCCTCACTCAATTTTGACATTTCTAGAGTAAATGGACGCAGGCATGTTAGATCAAGCCCAGCTCAGCCAATCCTCAGTAGGTCTGGGTTTGAATTGTCTACAATAAAAGATCGGTAGCCAATCAAAGACAGGGATGAATGAGAAGAGCCAAAAAGTGGAGAAACTGGCGTTGTGGACTAAAATGGACAGCATCTGAAGGATGGGTTTGGTTTGCAATTTGTCTAAATCGCCTGCTCTATTGTAGCAGTCTATTCAATACGAGGGCGCAGACATTCTAAAGGAGTTACAAAAAGGCAAAGAACTAGTAAAAAATGAGCAATGTCTGCAAAATCAGGGCTGATCAGTTTTGAATTTGCTTAAATTATTTAATGGCTTCATAATTTTTAATAGTACACCTTACAAAGATCGTTACCGTGAGCTATCATCGAAGACAATAACACCAGGTGACCTTTAGCATTGAATACTGACGTAACCTATAAATACAAAGACTTCAGGATGGTAATTGAGAAATATGCTATCATTAGAGAGCCCCACAAAGTATGTGAGCTTCTCTATATTTATTTGTGTTCTTTATGATAAAAAACAAAGCCCTTATGATTCGACGAGAGCCTTCATCATACATTGATCTTTTTCTCAATGTGCATGCTATTAATTTGTTAGTATGCCTGAATACATATTTCAGCATCTGAAAGATGCTTAACTAATGCTAACAGTAAAGGAAAATTTCTCATTATTCAGTACTATTCCCCTTATTAACACCGTTTTTGTTTTGGATATGATTCTGAAACCCTGCTGTCTACATTTTTAATTGAAGCAGTTGCAAGGCACTCAATACATTAAATTAAACGACTAATTTGAACTTGACGCAACCGATGCAAAGATTTCTCCTGTAGCAACTCTCGGCCCTAGTTCACTTATATAACAAAGGCAAGAAGTGGAAATTTCTAATATTTTACCCTCCCCAAGGCCTTCATAACGCAACGTATTCTCCAGTACTCAGCAAATTACAAATTTATTGTGAATGACCATACTACCGATTTTTTCATGGTAAAACCTACTTTAGAATTGCTGCTTAAATATACAGATATATCATAAATGACAATAAAGCAGTTACTCTCCTAAGACGGGGGTTATTCTGACCTACGCAAAATGTTCAGGACCGAGTCTCTCGACACAAAATAATCCAAAATTAAACCAGACTTGCTTATATAATCTGCGACAAACTTACAAAAAATGGAAATTAAATATTATCAGTAGCGACGCTTACATCACAGTCATAATATTACGCTGTTAAAATGATATTAAGCGCTACAAAAAAATGTTTAGTGAGAGTGACTAAAAGATATTATTACGGGGAAGCAACATCCGAGTACAAATGCTAAGGACTCGGAGGGTTTAAAAGTATCACCAGCTTGATGGCGGTGATGAGCAGTGTTGGCCAGACCCGATGACGAACTGACAGCCTTATCGGAGTTTAAGTGGGGAAGTATATGCGCAGTGGCCACGTAGAGAAAAGTGCCTCCAGAGAGAAGAAGTGCAAATCCTGTACCCGTAGTCGATGTGCCGACACTAGCCGATAAAACCTTGAAAAATGGGAGTAAAACCGATCACCGTTGTCAGATCAAAAATACGGAAATACTACTTCAACTTCGGAAATTATGCATCTCAACCAAAGACAAGTAAACACCTGATCTTACAACATGTTTGCATGGACTTTTCTGAAATACCTGATTGGTCATAAAATAGAACTAGAGCCAGTTTTTGGCTAGATCAGTCACAGAATTCCAGAAGCCAACCACCGGTATACTATAGTACAGAAAAGAACAATCAAAACCTTTTCTATCATATGAAAATTACCAGCCAAAAAAATTTCTGGACTCATGGGCCCAAAAATTGAAATGTGTGGTTCTCACTCTACAATATAAACAAATCTGGTGTTTCGTAAAAAAAGTTTGTTGTCTATTACTGGGATGATCAGTAGTAACAAACAGAGTAAAGCTAGAACATTCGTATAATGAAGACTTCAGTGGACGACCTAAAGGTGCGGAAAAGTAGGCATTAAGTAATGTGCATATGACTACCAAATGAGACAAAATTTTGTGTTTGCCTAGTCCTTCGCGAAAGGTTTTGGAATTTTATAGTGATACACTTTCATTTAACTGATAAGGCTATAAGCAGGCAAGCAGTTGGCATTTAAAAATTGATCAATTCAGTCGAGCCAAAAAGGGCCCTCGTGCTTTTACGCTGGTTTATACTACAGCATACAGAGCAGGCACACAAATGCGTGTGTAACCTGTGAAAATGGATTCACATTTGCAATTTGTCACAGCGAAAACAACCAAGGTTGCATGCAGGGAACCCAATCTGCATACAAGAAACTAGCACCGTTACACTGATTTTGAAAAATGAAAATACCAGCCTAATTACGCAATATTAATCTGATAATTCAACGGAACAAAGAGAAGTATAATAGCCTAACAAGGTCAAGGGTAAACAGAACACCACTGTTGCAATTCAACGTAAAAAGTCGCGAAAATCATTACCTACTAATATTAGCAAACGTCACTTCTGAGAGACAATGCTAAACTGTTTATTGTCTGTTAATAAAAAAAATCACTAACCTCACTGCTAAGACAATGGTCAATCAATTCCTCACTGACAGTGAAGGGGAATCATTTTAAAGTACGAAGAGGAAATGCAGACAATTTCAGGGCAATATCTGATAAAACTAACTCTGAAAACGTGTAAAACAATGTTTGCAAACACAACCTCAGTTTGCAACACCAGCAAACCACAGGAATGCAACATAACGTGGAGGTAATTTGGTTTATAATCTATTTCAAGTTGTACCCATAAGGTACACCCGGTAGCAAATATTTTTCCTAGATAAGTAGAGACATAAGTTACCAGAAAAAACAGAACACAACCAAGAACACTGACACTTGCCAGCTACAAACAAACCCAGTTGTTAACGTCAATGACAAATGCTCGTCGTAATTCTATAGAATGCCCAAGAGAGGAGAAAGCTCGCAATTTCCTATGGGATACATTGTCAAATGTAGCAATCGGCAATGTAGCTGTAAGCGTCTAGTTTAGTAATTTGCAAACCCATTCTGCCTTTGTTGGATTGTTTCATTTTTTGTATTATGGTCGGTCTCAGTACTGAGAAAACGCATCTTTCAAAAATGTGTGCATTTTGGAAAGATACAGGCTTTAAAAGGAATGAAAACCTACGGGATCCAGAGTAGCATAGGTGTGGATCGAGACAATTAGATATGTGAGAAGAGCACCGACGGGGGAGGCGAGAGCAAATGCAAGAAGGTACACCCTCACACGATTTCGAGGTAGACCTTCGTGAACCAGGAACGACACAAAGCCAAACGCTGCTGGAGCCTACAAACGGAGGACAAAGGGACGGTTAAGTGCCTTAACTCGGGCGAGGACAGATATTAAAAGCAACACTTTGGGAAATAACAGCCCTGTATTAGTTTTAGTGCCCTTTGAATTTAACAGGAAGCTACTAAAAGGTGGTCATTTTCCGTTTCCGAAATTTGTGTGGCTTTTATACAACCAAATCACTTTTAATGTAAACACAATAGACTAAATTAAAATAACCGTACAGGTATCGAATTAACCATCATAAAACCACCAACATGAAAGTGCATTTTACCTGACCTTTTAACCGCCTAGACCTCCTGCTAGTGTTGATGACAAATAAAATTGGTTGAATTAAATATCAAGTTAGCACTAAGATCATGCCTTATTAGATGCTTTGGATGGGGAAAACGATGATGGTTATCATTGCGTTAAAGTACCGAACGATGAAACGGAGTTAACAAAAGTCCAACTATCCAGGATTTTCACCCTCATACCATGGCTAACTCTCCCATTAAATGAAGAAGACTTATATCGAAGAAAGGATTAAAGTAGAACAAAGGCGTTTACAAAAAGAATTGGCGTCATATATAACATTTTTAATCAATGCTGAATTAGTAATAATACGGATCCATGTTAACATTTTATGAAAACAAAAGTGAATGCAAGGTGGGGGTCGAAATGAAGAAGAGGAAATAAAAATCAACTTGCCTTGTGTAGCATAATAGCAACGAAGAGGATGAGTGTGAGATCAAGAGTGAGACCGAAGGCGGCACCGACGGCTATTCCATCGGCAATAGAATGCACAACCAAACCCAATGTTGTGGTCATGGCGCTGTGCTCGGCTGCTGCCAGAGCACTTGACGACGATTCACCACCCTCGACGTCACCTGGAATAATGGCTAAAATAACAATACTAACAAACTACCTAAATGGACGAAACTGATCAAACTAATAATTCGTTGGATAATCATGGCTCGCAATACTCCGTACGTGAAATGTCCTGGTACATTTAATTCGCGGTTGCGCAGGATGGAAATAAGCCTGCATTGAAAGGAAGGGGTGTAACATAATGGGGAAGCCATTGAAACTAGTTGTGTCTGTCATGGTTTTCACCACACATAATAGCACACATGTGAGCAGCTGGTTGCTTATTCAGTGAGCTTCGCTAATCAGCTGATTACCGGTATCGAAACAAAGAAGTTTCAATTAAAAAGAACAAGCCCAGTAAGTAAATGTCGGGGGATGAAAATAAGAAATACGAGACTAAGCAAATACGTCAAAACTTACGCAGGATTAAATCCTTGGACTCAAATCTGCAACAAAAGGGGAAAACGGAGGACAGTGGTCGTGCGCAGACTTTGCAGCAGGAACCGGCACCCAGATGATCCACGAGGAACATGACTACAAAGCCCAAAGTTAGGGCCACGCCGATAAGTCCGTGAGTGTTTCTCAACGAAGAATGTTCACCTGGGATTTGTTTTGCCTCAGGAACCAATGCAGCATTACGAACGTCCAATTTAACCTCCTCAGCTTGAGCTAGATGGCGGCTTTCAATTTGCGCATTCTCGTCACTATGACGTAGTTCAACCTAATTAACGGGGCCAATCAAATTAAATCTAATTTTTGAGGCCTATTTAGGGCAATCAGAACCCTTAAAGCTTTGGCAAATAACAAAGCAAGTAGGAATAATTGAGTCGATCTTGGTTGACTGATGATGAAACATGTAAATGGCAGTTGAAACTATTCGATAGTTAAGAACATACAGCGTTTTCAAAAACAATTGCACTAGCAACAGACAATAACATTTTTACCTATGTGTGCATCCAACAAAAACAAACAACAATACAGGTCATCTCGAAAACGCAGACATAACTTAAACTTAACGCGACATAGACTAGATTAATTTGAGTTTGACGATTACAACTCTAAAGAATACTTGACCCAAAACCGATAAAATATGGCACCTACCACACATAATAAGGCGGATGAAGTGTTTGGTGCAGATGTAAAAAAATGCGGTCAATTATGCGAACTAATGTTTTACAAAAACTTGTTTAGCTCGTATAAACCTAAACAGTTTAAAGACGCGTTATGTTAGTGTAGAATAGGAAAAAGTAGTGTTGAGAAGTTTTACTTTTGTGAACAGACGTTTAGGGGAATTCAATTAACGTCACATATCACACCCAATTGGGCACGACAAGATTTTCTGTCGGAACAAAAGGCGTGTGCATACAGTGATGATATACACAATAATAACAAACCTTAAATCATAAGTCAAAACAACTCAGATTTTGAAAAAAAGAGCAAGTAAATCTACACCCAAACTTACAAAGATAAGTAAGATATATGCATGAAGCAAAACACTCACGAATTATGCGTGGTGGAAGAACATTTGTTAGTTACGTGAAGTTGCAGTTATAGGTCCTACCCACGTGCCACTCAAGCAAATTATCAGAGAGGCACATGGCACGAGGTTTCCTTTGGTCAAACATTGGTGGAACTTTAACCGAAAAATATATGTCCACAGAAATGAAAAACATGGGATGGACATACTTTGGTGCCTTTCATTGAGTGTGAGGAAACGTAATAATTTATGCATTATCTATATAATGTGATATAAATGCTCAGACGCTAGGCACTGGTGTAAGTGTGCAACGTTAATTAAAATAAAGAGTATTCAAATACCAATTTTGAAGAAACGGCGACTAAAAAAAGCTTTTCCATCAACACCCACCTGCATGTCATAGATGGTTGCTACGCCTTCGGGAATGATGATGGCTAAGGCTGCCCCAACCAGAAGCCCCGCACCAAAAATTGTGATTATTCGTAAGTTGCTCTATAAAGTAGAAATTATAAATTGACGTAAATGGACGGCACCAGAGTACAGTAACAGAACTGCAAGAATATATGTCTGGATAATAAATGAACAAACGACGACGATGGCATGGAAAAATTCATTCAAATTGAATCACCGAGTCAATTACGAAAAACCGTAAGGTGGCAGCCGAAAATTGTGTGTTTAGAGGAAAACGGGTTACAAACTTAAAGGCTGATGAGGTGCTTACAAGGTAATTCGAAAGCACACACCATTACGCATAAATATCGTTAAAAAATTTAGCAAGACCCACAATTTTTTTCCAGAAAATGAACCGTTAATGGTTATTGGTGTTTAAGGCAAATTTACTGAAAGCGATAATTCTGGGACAGAATCTAAAAACGGGTGACCGTCAGAAATAAGTCAATCCAGATGCACATACTTCGACAAAATTTACGCAAGAACTGTTACTTTCTCGGTGGATAAATTAGTGGTCAAGAAAAAGGTATGTAATTAAAATGAGATGGTTGCTAGAATTATCGTCAACTGTCACATTTGTAGTCATGACGGTTATAATCAAGGAAACCACCAAATGCCAAAATATTATTAACTTACTGGTGAATAATTGAATGCTAGAGGAATATAACCTGCTAAATAGCATCCAAAAAACATTAATATGCACAACAGAAGCAGCACCAACATCCTGGGCTGAAGTTTTTGTAGATGAGCTAACGGGTCCAACGATCTTTTAAGGCTTGTCCAATAGAAGTGTGGGATTAGTGCTCTGGAGGACAGAGTGGTGGCTTAGCATAGATTTCCATAAGCTATACTCGATGTGTGTCTGTGTGAAGATTTAAAGTTTTGTTATTTTTTAAAATTAATTTCACCAATAGATTAGCTAATGTGGAAAATAAATAGGGGAAAGCCGCAATTTTGTTACAAAATTTGTCTCGTAAGATTGGAATATGACATTTAAAACCAGAATACTTTGTAATAGATACACGGTTTCCGAATGCATATGCTGTTAAAGTACATGTGAAAGTATATCTATCAAGTAGGGTAATATCTATAGTTAATTATCAAATGAGTTATTGGTTATCATTCATAAATCTATAAACAATGTCCATTTGAATATTAACGTCTGATTCTTTAAATTTGGTTTGCCAAGAATTTTACCCGTGTACATTTTTAGCCTTTAACAAGAATATTTAAAATTCCCTCACTTTTCTGAGCATAACTGCCGTAAAGTTTGCAGTATGAATATAATTTAGCATATTTTAACTGTTGTTTGGTGTCAAGTCATGTGGTAGGTCTACAAATTTGCGAATTTGAAGAAGAATTTTATGGGCATTTTCGGTTGTATAAAATTTGAGTTATTTGTCACACAGAGTGTATTAGCTGACCAGTTTAATGGGTATAAGGATAACTGTCAGGCAAGCACTTTTGACATAGCGCATCTCCGTGGTCATACTGCACTAATACGGCACCAGACATTTTAACCAAGTCTGGTGTGTTGCAGCACAATTGAAGTCATCAACTTTCAGGCATTTTATCTCATCTACTGATATCTTTATAGTATTTCAACGTGTGACAGGGCCTTATAAACCAAATTTAGAGGTAAAGCGGAAGTCTGATATAAAAATGCCACGTATACCAGGCACGTGTATATGTGTAAGCACACCAAATTCTAGAATGCCCCCTATCATTGATCGTGATGATAATCGCAGCACACGAAATTTGAAAGGGGAACACAACTGTCCTAATGAATTCCAGTATGATGTGTTTCCATTACTTTAACTGAATTTCGGAAACGTTAGACGGAGTTACATTTGGAGTTAGTCTCTTACATCAAGGCAACTGAGTATCGTAGATCTAGTAAACTGGTAGAAGTGCACGAGATGACTCATAGAGGCTTCGGGCATGCTTCCCTAGAAATGATTATTAACTTACTGGTATTGACACTAAGTAAAGCGTGAATGGCGGACATTTCGCTCGCATACTTGGGGGATACCATGCGCCATCTGTTCCCTGTATGTAAAAATCAAAGCCCGTAACAAGTATTTTAGTAATTTGATTGAAGCACCCCATTGTTAATAAGTTCCAAGTTTGTCCCGGTCCTAGTGTGCATCGGCTCTCCATTTTGACTGAGCATCCAGTGAAAAATGAGTTGATCAAATAGACGCCAATTACCCCAATCTGCAATTACTTAAATCTTGTGTAAATTAATAGGTTTAGATTCAGCTAATATTGGTTAACGTCTCTACACCATTTACGAGGAATCCTCGAAATTAAATATCGTAGAAGAGACTGTAAATGACCTAAATATTGCTTAGATGTTAGCCTCTTAAGATTTACATCATTCACAGAGTATGTGAAATTTGCGACGTTTGGATTTGTTTAAATAACCATCGGAGAGATATAGATAATATACATTGGTAATGAATGGGGGTAGTCGACACAAATAAAGCAATGAAGTAAAAAGACACAAGAGCAGAAACCAAATCTTGATTTTACAAATGACAGTAGTGAGTGATGCTGACTGCTCTAAAAGGATACACCAAGCAGTGAACGGGAAGCAAAGTAATCCTCAAGGTAAGGCGGCAGTGACGGAATGAGAGAGTTTGGAAAAGTGTGGCTGCCAGTCATGTTGACGTTGACCTTTGAGCGAGACCAGTCGAAGGATTGCAAGGCGATTTCCAGGGCAACTTGGATCCACCTCCTTGAAAGCCTCCACCCGGAGGTCAAGCCCCGAGTCAGACAAATCAAGCCACCGTGCAGCCCCATTTGCCCAGTCAACGGCCTTGGCCTGCAACATCAATAGTAATTAACAAAAGATGACCCATTTATCCGTGACATGTACGAGTGACCTTCGCAAAATGAATACACCTCCCAATTTCAACATAGACAAATATGCTAAAAAAGGAAAGAGCAAAAAAATACCTGAGGGTGGAAAAGCACGGCCGACGCTTTGTGAAAGAGAACGATTGGTTCCCTTGGAAAGACATAGAATATTGACTGAGCAAACTAGGGGGAAAAACGACACAGAATTGATAATCAAGTAAAAGGGACGTAGTACATTACAACTGATATTTTGAGCAACAAAGAACAAATTGGAATTTGGCCAGCGTGAACAGGATTTTAAGGCTTTTCACAAGCATTATGGTAGGTTTCACCGAAGAGTGGACGTGAAAAAACACTGAGCAACATTCAAGAAAGCTCATTCGTACCTTCTTATAATTAGTGATATTAAAAGGTTCAACGACAACCGAGGTAGGAGGCAGTGTCCTCTCCTTCAGCAACTTCCTGAGTTGGCCGACCATAACAGGATCTACCAAGGCGGGAGTGTCGTTTAACTTCCTCATAGCGTTCCTGATTTCTCCAAGCATGCGTTGAATATGTTTTTGGTACCGGCCTAGGGTACAACGGTGAACGAAGGGTAATTCCTCCTCAGAGCCACCCGTCAATAGATCCGCGTGCGATTGTAGCGAAATGAGATCCTCGGCACAAACCAGGAGCTTATCTGCCGAGTCAGCCTGTGTATAAGCCTCCTGAATAGCGTCTAATTTGTTGGACACCTCTGAAAGCATCTGTTGTCCACAGCTCCGTGATCTGGCCGCGTGCTCGCCAGATATGGCCACAAACTGGACGAAAAAAAATTCGTGGTGGATTGCTGGATACAGGGATTATGCCCTAAAGGACAAGTGGCAAATTAAACTACTAGGCTTAAATTCCATATTAAGAAATCATGGCTTTTTAGTTCATTGGCTTTAAAATAGGTCAGATATATGACTGGCATTTGCGGGAGCGTGACCCAGGAATCGATACTCCATAACCAAAATTACTTTACGTTTAGGAGTAACGCTAATTATTCTTCGTTGTTGGATATCGAGATGTTAACTTTGAACTATCAGGATTGCCATTTTAAATAGTTCCCAGGTGATGCTTTGTCCACAGTAGCAATTTATGTGACCCGGTCACTTCGGTGGTGAAACCTATATGTCTTGGAGACTGTGGTGAACCAACGATCGCAAAATCAAGTACCATGCAATTAGGTTAGTAGGAGAGGGTTTTAAATTTCGGATATTAAGAATATTTCCCATTAATGCAGTCGCAGCTACAAAGAACTAGAACATTCCATCTTCTAATCGAACGTAATTCATTGCCACAGACGAGGTGTCGCTAACCAGACATGGAACGAGATTACTCCGTTTCGACTTAAAACGACTCACTTCCTTAACAGCTTGATTTCTAGATCGTAACCCAACGATGACCACGTCCACAAGATCATTGGTTTGATGTACGTGAGTGCCTCCACAAAGTTCGGCAGAATAAAGAGATGATGGGCTGTCGATACTTCTTCCTATTGTTTCTATGTCACCTCCAATGCAAACCACACGAACCAATTGAGGGTAGGACTCCCAGGCAAATCGCTTCACAAATGACTTCTACGACAGAAGGGAAATGAAATTGTTAAAATTTTCAACACGATTTCTCACAACTGACGCCTATTATTCCCTACCTGCATTCTGATTCAAAGCACAGTAGCCCTCATGGTGGGTATGTGCACCTACAAGTAGTATTAGGTCATTATGTGAGTTGAAAGTGGACGTCAAGGCCTGAGTAGTTTCACAACTCAGACTGTAAGCTATTTTTTGTAGTTTAATTAAGAACATTCCAGTTCCAATTCAACCGGTAGCACAGTGAATTAGAAGAATTGAAGATGTTCCATGCAAGCATTTACGGGAACGAGAGATTTCGATACAAAAGTCTCACCTCTACGACATCCGCAAGTTCCATTTCTTGGCAAACAATTGGCAATTTCGCCTCAATCGCCGCGCGGCAACGTGCCTCAACCCTTTCAACGATCGCCTCCAATTTCTCCGGGGTCTCGAGGAGAGTGAGGCGAATGGAATACCGATCAGAACCCACACGGCTTCCGTGGTAGATGGTGGTGGCCGATTGACGGGGCTCGGCCGGCGTATCCCGTTCTGCGTCGGCAACCCAGGCAGCTCTGATGGGCAATTCAACCGAAAAGGCCCAGTTCAATAAATGCTGAGCTGTGTGATTCTGCATTAGACTCAAACGCACTTGCTGGAAAAAAATTAACACCGACCTGGAAAATTCATCTTCGAAATGGCAGTGACTTGGAGAATCCAAACCAAGAAATTCACAACATGCATTTTAATATCATGATCTTAACTTTCCGTGAGGATAGAATTAAGGAATCAAGATAAAATAACATTAACAAACTCTAATCATATGACGATGCTTACTTGATTTAATAAAAAATGCACTAAAGCAAGACATTGACAGTGCCTAACTGGGTCGTATAAATATGATGGTCAAAATGTCCTCTGAAATATCCCAGAAAATCCCACAATTTGCAGAGGAGCAATCTAGTAATCATTAGAGACTAATTATTTTTTTAACATTTACAAGTGAACCTCATAACTAGCCAATTTTTTTCTGAGATAAAAGGACGTCAAATTTAATAAGCTTTTTTAGGCATCACAACCAAAACAGTTCCAAAAGTATTCGCTCATCACGAACTCAAAAGCGTCCAAGGGGTGTTGACTTTATCATCCGCTTAATGTTGGTTGAGAAAAACCCACATTGTTCTACTTGAACCACCAACTCTTGTCGACACTAAATCATGATGTTGTCTTTACCAACAGTCAAATAAACCCAACAGGAAAAAACGACGATAAAGAAACAGGGAAGCAGTATCGATCTTGGACCTGACGGTAAATGTTAGGCGAGTAAGTACGGTGTGGTTGAAAGCTGAGTAATAAGCATGCATACAAACAGTCCAGTACAGTGAGTTATTACAGGCATTAGGTAGAAGGATTTAGGGCTTTGAATAATTAGAGCACGTACCGAATCGGGACAAAGAATGAGCGAATTCAATGGAAGGTCTTCGTCATTCCATTCACAGCAAGTCACCCAATGAATGACCCAACCTTTGCTGGATACCGTTGAGTCATTCTCGGTTATTTTTTCTACAGAAGACACTTGGAAAACGGGTTTCTACGGGAAGATTAATAAAATGTTCTGAAAACAAAACACTTCAGCGCCTTTAATTAAAATGTATATACCCTGAGTGCGAACCCAACTTTCGACTACCATATATGTTTTTTTCGATGAACAAGTAATTTCGTAAGTGAATTTCAAATTTTCGAGTTGCAGTGTGCCTCGAAAAGTAAAATTATGAGGAGTTTAGAGCCATCATCATTTAATCGATTTCAAACTTTTTAAGAAGCAGTAAACTGGGGAACTTTGCTGCAAGTACTCAACAATTCCTTAGATCCTTCAAACTGGAATTTCAGAATAAACTAGGATGCTGAAACATATCTAGGTACTGAAACCCCGCAACAGAGTCATTTTTACTACGTTTGTTCGTGCAAATATCACCTGAGCAACAAGTTCATTTTTCAACTAATAAGATTTTACAGTACTTAAATTTACTAAGCAGCAGCATATCGAATAAGCGAGCAGCTGCCCAGCGAATTGAGAGCCAAAGCTACTAGAATGAGAGATTTCGTACCTGACTTAATGGGGATTTTATGAATCCAACATCACTGGCTTGTCCTCCACACGGACTGAAGAAGTTTGTTCGATCAAAAAGCAGCCCCAGACGCTTTCCTACCAACTTCTGAGCAGAAATCACTTCAAGGAAATCTATGGGATCACTAACTAGCTTGGGATCGGCTGCGTCATCATAGACCAGAGCTACCAGATTAGATTTCAGTGGTGGAACAGCTATAAGGACAAAAAAATCCACTATAATGCTGGCAGATAGGGGAGCACATCGGCCAGGAAGATTGACGAGTCTTCGAAGAGTCAAGTTCAGTTGTGTACTGATCGGACAACAAGAGGACAGATTTTACATAGGTGATTTTAAGGAACCGTTCCTTTGGATTCGGTTCTGATTAATTTATGGAGTCTCAGGCTACACAGAAGTATCCATTTTACATTAAAACGACCACCATAATAGATTGACTCTGGATTTCACGAGGACTCTTCCTAATTCTAGGAGCGATTTCGACACCGTAGAATTCCTTATACGGACGTGAAACACTTGACGTGCAGATTGGTTAGGGCTGACCCACCTAAAGACCAAATGGTGTCCATAACAGAAACGGTGGCAGTTAACGCATTACAAGAAATAAATCACCAAACTAGAAAGCATCGCAGCAGGGTGGCCTCGGAATTAGGGCATCGAAACTATAGTTTTGCTGGGTTTCAGCATTCCGGCTTTGAAAGGAACTTATTTACACTCGGGATGTAACTCAGGGTGTTGACATTATAAATAATGCAGCACGGGTATAGTTGAAAAGTTGGCGAAATTGGGTATTTGGTTGACGCACAGCAGAAAGAAATATTGTCAAACGAGCAGGACATTCCATTAAAAGGTGTACACGCCTAAAACTATAGGAGCCTGTAATTAAACACAGCTACAAACAAAGAAAACTGCGTTAGCTTGATGAGCACATTGCACAAAGTTTTACGAAATATTTTCGAAAGATTAAAAGGCAAATTTATACTATGTGGAGCTTTTATTGACCCTTTGATTCAGGTAAGTGGAAAGAGGTCATAGTTGAAACTACGTCGCTGAAATAAATTCCATGGTTTAAAAATATCACGACACATCTTTAGCTGAACTTGTACATATAGTTTAGCCGTCACAAGAGGCAACTGACTAAACACGTGTCGTCAAAAGTGGCGTTAGTTCACGGCAAATTAAAAGACTAAAAACGGGATAATAATAGCAGACGAGATGGGGTACAGATAGAGCTGGAGAAAAGGAACTGTGATGCTCTGGTTAAGCCATAAAAGCTAATTGTTGGCAGAGAACCAAAGTTTTACCATCTTTGTGTGTACATTGGTTCAACAAAATTCAAACTCATTTGCATTTTCGCAATGTATTCAATGACAGTCAATGAAGAACATAAAGTAGATAAAACGCTGATTTTTTTGTGAAAGTTAGCATCCTGAGCTGGACTGACCGTACGCGAGTGAAGCGCCGCTGAATCCAGACTGAACAACACGCTCTACGTGGTACTTATTGCTGTCGTTTGTGACAGGCGAGGCCTTGAGGATGGTGCGGAGACGTTTGGTGGCAGTGGGTGCGGATGGTGATTTGGGTTGCCCCGCTGTTTCAGAAGGGGAGGTCGGTGAAGAGGGCTCAATGGGCGTCCTGAGGCCGTACCAGCGAGATTGAGCACAAATCATGTCCCAACTAACTGGCTCACCGTAACGCCCTGACATGAGCCCACGGACCTGATGAGCTAAAAGGAAAGGGGAAAAATTAAGAACCAGATAATGAAACGGAGGAACGACTTTTTGAGCGGCCAATTATAAATCAAATTGACCTTGACAAATGATTTTAACCGCCGGAATTAACTGATACCGTGGCATGTCAATAACATGAAAAAATAAAATGGACAATAATTCGTTGCAGCAAAAAATCTTAATTCAGACATATGTCTCTGTCAATTCTAAAGTAACAGTGATTTCCACCGATGACCAGAGGCCCATGTTGGTGCTATCAAAGGAAGCATTTACGATAGAAGTGGAAATACGCCCTTAAACAGATAGAAGTACATCTTACGTGTTAACGCATCTCCGTCATTTCCGTCACTCAGACAGGCGCGAAAAGCGTCCTCCAATTTGCCTAGCCGACGAACAAATCCGGCTACCTCTTGATTAATGATTTCACCCATCTAAAAAAGGGGCAAATAAACACTTATTAACGCAAGATGGGATGATTTAAGTCATAGGTGGGTGTCCTTATTTACAATGTTCATCAGACGAACTTATTATAGCATTTCGTGAGTTAGTGGCAGTGCATATTGAATCGACTTACTGAAGTCATAAAAAACCACACGCTTAACGTAAAATTATTCCCACTTTAGAAACTATTCATACAAACAGAAAGTAGAATTAAGTGATGGAAATGGCAAGATAGAGGCAGCTGTCGCTGGAGTTACTTGTTTCGCAGAAAGAGCGGGTGTGGGAGAACGAGCCGATGGACCCTCGATATCTGGTGTAAACGGAGCAGCTGAGAAACCCCGAGAGACGAGATTTTGCAAGAGAGTTGGTTGGGTGGCAGAATCGAGGCCGGTGAGAACAGCAGCTCGCGTTGAGCGGTGAATCAGGTGGCGCAACTTTAGCCCGATACCCTGCCTCCCAGGCAGCAGACCGTCCTGCATGGCGACACTGAGAGCACGACTGTGGTCGGCCACAAGGCGATAGGCAATATCGCGGTGGAGTGTTTCGTAATCCACTGGCCCTCCATCTGACATAATTGGACGAGCTTTCGTGGCAGGCTAAAATAGCGGAATAAGCGGTTGTTTAAAAAAACGGTGCCCTAAAGGTATTGCATCCGATATTTCCAGGCAAACTGCTATTAACAACACTCATTCATCTAATCCCACACATTAAGGCTCAAATTTCAACTATTCTAGCTAAGGCAGGTAAATTTAATGGAGATTTTTACACCAAGTTATAATACGAACACAGTCTATAAAAAATGAAACATAGCTACAGATTCATTTATCTTACGCAGCGGGAACGTCTTGCAATAAAAGGTTGAATGTAGTGCAAATCTTTCTGGGCAAGTTTCCCATTGGAACCTGGCTGCGCTTACGGAAGGATTACATGTAAATAAGGGCGGCAAAAAATTTCGAGAAGCCAGTCGTTCATCCACAGTGGCTACTTCATAAATACTATGCGCCCTTATATGATACTAGACATAGCCTACAATTTTGACAGGCCAGTAATACGGTCCATGGTAATCTCTTTCGAGTTGACATTTCAGGGCAATTAATGTACAGACAGCAGTAGTTAATACAACCAAAATGACGAAAAACAGTGCCGTCAAAACGAGGACCCATTGAGTTTTTCCACCCCCACCAACTGCACTAAGGTAATCACCCAAAGCAGCTCTAGACAACACGAGGGAAGAATAGTGTACAGGGCACATAGACTGGACACAACGTTCACGCCATGGAAAAACTTACCCGGCAGCGATGAAATACTTTAATCCAATCAAGATAACACAACCACATCACCTTAACTAAAAAAAATTTCAATGAGATTATCTGTAAAAATATAGGACGTATCCTGTTCTAATGTTATTGAGTTCTAGAGTATTCTGCAACACACCATTTTCACGCAACACAAAAAAACTGAACATAAGTTATTTGTCGTTGAAAAACTCACCAACGTAGCTGAATCCCTGTGGCCAAGAGCGAACGCCCTCAAAATGTTAGAGAGCCTGCTGGGTTTGGCTGTTGCCTCTTGGTCTATGGTTCGCCCAACCAACGGGTTGGATGAGTTGTCCTCGCTCAATTCAGGGAGGATATACTGGCTGCTGTAGCTAGGTACGGAATTGCTTGTAATGCGTTGTGCTTCAGAGTGAATAAAATTCAAGAGAGGCAGAAAGGCATCCGTGTCATAGGTGGTCATTGTACCCTGAAAGAATATGACAAGGGCGACTTAAGTCAAATCACCCATTTTACAACCGAAAAGTAAACTATGGAGCGCAAAAACGAAACGCGTGGCCACTAAATGTAGAATAATTTGACAAGCACATTGCCTGACAAGGCAGACAACCTAACTATGAAACTATTTGTCTACATTTGATCCAGTGGGTGCGAAAGCAGAAGATGGATGACGAGGCGAAACTACAGCTGGCCAATGGATTTATTCCTTGTTTAAGGCCAACCCTGTTATATAACAGGCGTTGTGTAACGACGCCAGAGAAGAAACGGACCTGCATAACAGATGCAAGACGCTCCAACCCCATGCCGGTATCCACTGAGAGACATGGCAGTGGGACAAGGCCGATTCGGGAGCCGGCCTCTTCGACCATTCGATGTGTAATGAATACGCAATTCCAGAGCTCGACCACTCTAGCATCGCCAGCGTTGACCATACAACGAGCGCAGTTGGGATCTCCACGACCAGAAAGTGCAGCAAAGTCGACATGAATTTCAGTTGAGGGACCGCAGAGACCACCGCCACTACCTTGGTCTGCTCGCCAGAAATTAGATTCAGCTCCAAATGAGACGAGCTTTTGGTCGCTAATACTAAAACCCAGAACAGGTTTCGGATTACATTTTGACAACAGTGCTTCCGAAAACAATATGAGCCAAATCATTTGACAAATCCTCGGAAATTTTGGCGAAAATTGGACGGAATTATCGATACCCATTGGACACATAAATTTCTACAATAGTTATTACAAAGAGAATGACAGGAGAGTAAACGCAGAATTAACTTAAAATAGTGCCCAAACCTACGGTCACATGTGGTGTTGACTGGGGCTTGACACAGCCATTAATGTAGGTTCGCATTATACAACTCGCCAAAAGATCACGTGCAAAGACCCCAATTGCCCCAAAGAATATGGTATTTTGTTAATTAAGCAAGTCTTTATCTGCAAACACCATTTTTTGGTAAAGGTAGGTTTCATAAACGGCAACAGTGCAGGTGTGGAAAAAATGCTTCCAGATTATGAACCTCAAGGAAACACACCAGAAACAGAATAGCAATGACAGGCCAAAACCACATAAATTATTAACAGCTGATTATACTATAAGTCATTCCAAAAATCAGCATGCTCTTTGTTTATGAATTTCAACCAAACATGCACGGAAGCAATTTTTATGTAAAATGTAGTAGTCATAACAGCACCCGGACTATAATTTCATACCTACAGGCACCACATATTGTGCCGAAGTAACTTTGGTTAGGGAACAAAAGTTGAGACGAAGAATATTAAAATCCACAGTAGTGGAAATATTTTTTACTTAGGCGCTTACCCAATATCGAGCCAGATATCTCGCGTCTCATCATCGGCAGGCAGTGCCAACTCTTCACAGCCACCAAAGTATGTGACATAGAGGCACGACGGGGGCAGGCCGAGAACGTCAGTCAGGAACTGCCACATTTGACGACAAGCTGTTTCCTTCCGAAAGTATGAAGGATAGTTTACATTGAGTAACAAATATAGGTACTCTTCGTAAGAGATAGAATATACCGGCTAGTAAATTATGACACACAGGTGGATACGCAATATTCCCAGAATCGACGGACACTGTTATTTCAACGAAACTAAGTTGGGATTCACCCGCTTTGGTATTCACAGTATTCTACACGTAAGAATAAGTTTCGTGGTTAACGCAAACCTTAAGGGCATGGAAAATAAGTAGTGCATTAGTGTGTGGGTCGAGTAAGGAATAACGAGTCAATAACGTGTGCAAACTGCACTCCGAGCTTCGAGCTAACGAAGTATAAGCTACAAACTAATTGTTTTAATATTTACCTTCCCGTAGTCCCCAAAAGACCAATTGCCAAGCATTTCAAACATGGTGTGATGACAAGTGTCGTAGCCTACATCGTTGAGATCGTCATGACGGCCACCAATTCTAATGCATGGCTGTGAGTTGACTGCTCTAGTAAGACGTGAGAACTCTAAGTCGGAATTTGAAGGGCAGATCTGATTTCGAAGAAAGAGCGGTTTAAACTGATTCATACCTATAGAATAAAATAATGTCAACCAATAATAGCAAATGTCCTATGCAAAGCAGACATGGCTACACATGAAGGTAAGGTTTCAGGGGCAGAAAGAAACAACAAATTACTTTCCTTTTCACTTTTAGATTACGAAAAAATAAGCGAGTGTCGGTTTGTTGGATCTACATAGCTTTCGACCGAACGTCAATGCCCTACTATGCATACGCCTGGGTTAGGTTCCAGAACAAACTGGTCCGGTAGCTGAGTGCTAATTTAAGACGGATAACGTTAACAGAGACAGGCTAGGTCACGTAGGATGTACAAGAATAATCTGCCACATCTTGATTTGAGATATTACCGTCAAACAGGAATTCACAGACATTACTATCAAATAATGACTTCTGAATGAAAAGTGGGACTACCAGCATTAATGAAGTAGCTGCCTTCCAGGCGCCTGGGATAAACAGATGAGGGTGCGACCATGACGTGACCCTTTTCCTTAAAGTAGGATAGGAATTCCGCACGAAGATCGCTTGATGTCGTGATAGACGAATTCACTGAAGGTGGGAGGCGAACCTTTCGGGTAAACGGCACCTTATTTTCAACAGCACATTCGCCTAAGGCTGCAGGACGGCCGTAGTTTGGAAATGTTACATGAAGTCGGGTGTTGTATTGAAGAACAAACCAGGGCATCTTGAGAAAAGCTATAAGATTAAAAACATTGAACAACAAATGATAAACATCTCCAATTGAATTAATTTAATATTCGGCAATATATCCTGCGATTGAAAAAGATGCACAACTTTATTCATTAAAGCAATCAAATAAACACACGAAATGGAGTCAAACTACCCCCGCCTAGGCTGCAAAGTCATTATCATCGTACCGAAACACACATGGTCATATCAGTAGCTCAAACCCATTCTTAATGTGCAAATCTGACCTAAAGTTTAGGAAATGCGGACGAATACTGTGGAGAGGGTAAGGGAATTTGTGATATCGTAATTAATTCCGGATTCAAACAGCGACAAATGACCAAAGTCGGCCTGAACATACAAGGTAAAGGCGGAGTGATGGTGTCAGTTTGGAAGGGAAATATCGACTGCATAATTTCATCATAGCTTAGTGTTCATGATAATTGTGGTGGATATGAGTGTGGTAGATGCATCAAAGACGTGATTGAGTAGAAACTCGGAGTGCTGAATAAACCGTTAAAGAAGCGTTGACAGGCAATAAGATACTTTAATGCACGTTTTGACTACCAACAAAATGGGTTAACTATATTGGTGTTTATAACACACATGGAGAAATAAACACTAGGCGATGTGGTCAAGTATTCGCCAAATATTAACGAGTGACAGGTTGGAAACGCCACGTTCAAGGACGGCAACAACGCGTAAGTGGATAAAGGTCATAAGCTACGACGAAATACATGAAATACAACGAGGTAAATTCGGAGTCGTGGATTAATTCATAAAGAATTAAATATATTGTATACAGGTAAAGCCAAGTTAAATGAAAGGGAGAAAAAAACGTAACCTGATGTAAAAGCAGAAAAATACCCGCAACAGTAGCTAAACAACGAATCCCAATCAAATATAAGGAGACGTATTATAAAGTACGATTACATCATAAATAACACGCAATCTAGTACAACGGAAGATTATGCATGGTTGTTTAATGGCCACAGCAGCAATATCAAGAGCTCTATATCAACTCAGACCCAAACGATGTTTTCAAAAACGTACTCATTTCTGTGCAGTGGAACAGAAGTCCAAAAGAGCTTCGAAATCAGCTTGAAATTCGACACTGTGGTGTGGTGTGGCGTCGGACTAGGGCGCAGACATATTGGACCACCTGGCCGCAGCCAATCCTGTGTCTCTCTGCAAT